TCCTCCAGGACTGGCGCTGGGATTCACCAGGATAGAGACACAGTGCTCCTCCAGGACTAGGGCTGGAAACCACTACTGTAATGATGCTCTGTTTTGAAGTAGACTAACTTTCTCCAATACTGCTTAGTGGGCTTTGACTTTATTCGAGCAGCATAACCAGACAGTTAATTGCTTCATTAATTGCTCTTTCACAGATTCATTTTGCAAACCAGTACCCGCTGGGTCCAGGTCCAGTGGGGAGAGTCCAGTTCTGCTCGAGATGCCAGAGGTCTCTGTGTAAGACGTTCTGTGCTCTGCGATCGTGGAGGGAGAGGGAGGGGAGGGGGCAGGAGCGAATTCTCTGGCTGGGAAATGGTCACTTACCGCTGAGCAGGAGGGTGGCTAATCCTGGCAGTAGGTGTGTGGTCCCCATGGCTGCTGACAAAACAGACACCGTTATCCACACAGACTCCACCCCTGCGTTTCTCTGGGGTGCATTTTATATGGAGTTATAATGAGCAATTTTCTGTTTGCACCTCTTAAAACTCCCCTGGCTCAAGGCATCGGCTGAATCATTTGTTCATCTCAGAGATTAGATTTTTTTTTCTTCAATATTTTCTCTACAAATCACTTCATTACAAATTAGTTCAGACAGTAAATCCACATCTAAGAAAAGAAAATAATGTTTTGTCCGATCCAAACCTTATTATTAACAGTTTAATTTTGTGTGTTTTAGTTCATTATTTTAACTCCATATCGGACAAATATATAAAACTGGTTAAATATAGGACAAATGAAAATTAATATTCTTATATACATATTTATGTTTTTACAGGACATATCCAGTGCACTATGTACATTTGATCATAATAACTAAATCTAATGAAATGTATCCTTATACATTTAAAATGTACAAAGTCTCCAGGAATGAGACTTTGCATAAACATTATTCCTAAAAATAATTGACTAAACCTCAGCAAACGTATCTATTGAATGCATTAATGTATTATATACAGAAAAAATGAAGAAGCAGCAGAAAATCTTTCCCCAAATAATGCCACATTTTATAAATGGGAGAAATAAAATATTGCTGACATAAATAATTTTCAGTTTTCCTCTTTTAACTCCCATTTAATATGGTAAAATAAAAAATTAACTAAACCAATGCATATTTCTGATAGAAGAGCCTACAATTTGGTGACAGAACACATTTTAAATATTCTGACCTTTCGATAAGCAAGTGGCATGCGATAATATAAGTGTAGAGCCCTGTGCACGATCAGCAGTAGTATTGTAGTGCTCTGACGGAGCACCTGGATTCTGGGATTCTGGACTCACCTGAACAGGACCGCTGGCTTGATGGAAGATAACGACATCCTCTTTAAATAGTTTGGGATGCAGACCTGGTATCCAATCAGTGAAGGTCTGGCCACTGCATTCCCCGATCTGTGGGTGGGTAGCGCACTCAAACACACACACGCACACCCTCTATCCAAGAACATCAAGGGTGTGCCATCTCTACAAGAAAGACCTATAATATGGAATCACAGGGAGGGCACCATAGCCTAGTGTTCTAAACAAACTCTGATTCAACTGTGTACTTAACTGGAATAATCACCTTTCTTACAGGTGGCTATATGATGTATAGGTTTCCTAACTCTGCATTCTTCTCATATTATAAAGTTTGATCAAAGGACTTGTTGTATGGCATCTCTTTATATAAAGGGTTGTGGGTGTCTGGAACAAGCTACTAGAAATAGCTGGGTGTGACTGTTGTAATACTTGTAAACAAACCTGATGGTGTCGTTTGCAAACTTGCTGGTGCTTTTTTCTCACTGTATTACAAACTGTAGTGTCTGCATCAATGGGAAATATAGGGAGTAACCGAAGTAGAGACTTCATACGAGTGTTCGAGACCGGGAATGAATCTGTGCTCCGAGCCAAACCTAGCACAGGCAGCTGCAAGGCATGAGGAAGTGAGGAAGTGCATCTAGCACTGGAAGCTGCCCATTCCTGTGCGAGCAAGACGTGAGTCTGCCAACCTCCTGGGCAGAGCGTAGAGTCTATCAAGCTCTTCATAGTATTTTACACAGTCAATTTTAATTTCACGGCTAGAGCTCCTGGTTGTAATTAATTTTATTTGCCTTCAACTGAGCAAAGCAATGTTGCGCTCTGCTGAGATAAGGACGTATCTGTAGGAGCGTACGAATCGCAGAAGAATACCAGGTGTAACCAAACAATCCTTTATCGCTGGGCTGGCAGGGAGCCGTGAGAACACGATAAGAGTGTGGTTACAGGCAGACTCGGCTCACCGCAGCATTGGGTGGGCTTTCAGAAGGGGGCTACAAAGTGGACCGTGTTTTCAGAAATGGCCCATTCTTTAAAAACTGGGTCATCCGGCCCTGGTGCTCGAGGAACACTGTAGTCTCTCCTGGTTGGAGAGCTCTGTATGGGAGGAATCCACATGCAGCACTATCTCAATGGAGCACAAACATCTGGATCCATTCAGATGTTTCAACCCACCCTAGAATAAACAGCACATGCCACATGAAAGGCACCTGTATTTGCTCAGGAACTTTTAAGGCAGAGGGGAGGTACCAGCACATAGAATGAAGCTGAAACAATGGCAGAGACAGGAAAGTGTTTTATTTATCCGGGACCAAGGGTGATTTCTGTAATGTCTGAAGGATTAAAGAAAGCTTTTGCACATTTCAAAACTCCACAGACTGTGCACTTTACAGATATACAGTATTGAACTATTCCTTAAAGCAACATTCTGATTTACTACTTGCAGAGAAAGTCCATAGAATCGTCCCTAAAGCATGAAGATAGAGGCAAACTGCAATTTAAACTTGTTACAATCAGAAAGGAGAAAAAAACAGTCAATTTAATCTGTTGGTATATCGAGTTACTCCTAGGAGAAAGGCAACGTGGATGTCACCCCTGTGAGATCAGGAGCCCTTGACTCTAGTCCCCAGTAGACAAAGTGAAGTGACGTGACCAGAACACTTTGACCTGGATCTCCTGCTCCAGATTGGTCAGCTTGGGTTTATAGAAGGGAATCATCCTAGAGCATGAGGGACAGCCCATGAATGATTTAGCTGACCAGATTCCCAGACCGATCGGTCAGGCCTGTGGCATCTAAAACACAGAGAGCGCCCTTAAAAACAGGGAAGAGACTGGTCTAGAACCAGAAAGTGTCCTACTCTGCCAGGCACGAACGAGAAAGCACAAAATCAGCATTCATGTCAAATGAGTTTTGTGAGCAATTAAATAGAGGAAATTGATCTAAGCGATTGTTGGGTTGCTTTACATGGCTATAAAGCATTCTGCACTTTTACCATCAACAACCTCCCATTGGAGCACAAGGTCTAAAAGACCAGTTTAACAAAAAGACTTCAGATTGGCAGAGTTATCCATTGCTTTTGTAGAGGGCTCGTTTCCCAGCAGCAATCAGCATTACCAATACCAATGAGCAGCAGTTTTCATAAAAGCATGGGTGTCCAGTGCTGGGAGGGAGGAGGAACTTAAGACAACTGCAAGGGATCTACATGTCCTCCAGCTCCAAGAGATCTAGAAGCCAAGCTGAGTACTGCGGGACTGGATTTGCCAGGTTACCAACGCCTGCAGACTCCCTGAGCAGCAGCACAACTCTACTGGGTTTGAATTCAGATCTGGGAACAAGACTCTTGGCCCTTTGAGGAAATAGAAACAGGCTCCCAGCTCCGCTGGTCCTTCACGGGCTGATGAGGGAAGGTAAACTGCCTCCTAATCCCTGGGCGATCCCGAGCAGTTCCCCACTCACACCCTGCTTATCGCAGCCGCTCTCAGGAGCCGGAGCGTGCCATTGCACACAGCGCAGGCATTGTTGACCTTCAGGGCGGCTGGAGCCGAGCTTGAGTCAGTGTTTGTTGGGGGTGGGAGGGGAAATCCCAGCTTCAGGATTGCCCTCCATGCAGCAGAAGAAGGAAAAAAAAATCCTTGAGCACTAGAAACAAAACACTAGTCTCCTTGGGAAACCAGCACCAACTAGAGAAAAGGAGGAATCCACAAACATTGACTCACACTAGAACCCCAACATGAACTCAAAGGTTTAGCCAACATCATAGAAATGTTAACTAGGCTGATGGAACAGGCTTCACCAACTAGTGAGATCTGTTAAAGCTGAAGCAAGAGGCCTGAAGGGCACACAGCAGAGCTCCAGCCTGTCCAGATCTTAAAAACAGAACTGGGAGTTTGTTTTACTCATCTTCACCCAACAGGCAGGCTGGAGCTTGAAGTGATCAAACCAGCAAAGATCTGGAAAGCAAACTTGGTGTACTAATGTATACAACTGGTAACTTTAAATTGACTCATTTCTGGTAGAATAAAAACCCAAAGAACCTGTTCTAACAGCACACCAGCCTACTGCTTTTCTAGTTCATTAATTTCTAGTTCAGGGGCACCAACAATTAAGACATTTGTTGGCAATACTTTTAAACCTGTTCATCTGCTGCTGGCATAAGTTACACTTCTGCAACAGAGCACAGGAACAGCAAGTATTCCAACCTTACATTTTATTGGAGCTTGAATAAATGGGACAGGTTCAACTGAGCTACCCCATCCCCATTTACAGTTTGTTTTGTCCACAAACACTTCAGCACACTGCTCTAAAATGCTCCTATAGGAGGTTAGGAGCATCATACCCAGCACAATAGACAAACCAGCTACACAAAACTGGTGTTTGAGCATGCTCCGTTTTGGGGTTGTTTAAAAGCCTGTTAATGTAGAATAATGAAACAGGCCCTATGCAAGCAGAGCTGAAATTAGGCTATAAGAATCAGGTGCAGAGAAAGCAAGGAGTCACATTGCTCAAGACTTTTATTTCAAAACATTCCCAAAACAGAGGGCAGTACATCCAGCAGCATGTACAAATAAGAGCACAGGGGTCTTCGTCCATCAGACAGCAGCACCGCTGCAAAACAAAGACAAGTGAACATTTAATGTGCAGATTTATTCCCCCCCAACCATGGCAGCAAATTGAAGTGCTGCTCACACACAGTGCTAAAGTTAACTTGGTGCTGCATGAAGAAACTGCCATTCTTAATGAAGTTAAAGAAGAGTATCGAGACCCACCAGCCGGTGAAGTTCTTGGCGACCCAGGAGTTTGATCCCACGAGGTCGTCTGAGGGGCTGCCGTTGTAGTTCCCGCAGGCGCCACACGTTTTCCCGACGTACCAGAGGGACAGGACCACCGTGAAGTCCCCAGAGGGGCTGAGCTGAACCTCGATCTCCAAGCCCCGCTTCACAACCAGCGCCCCAGCTCCGTTCTCTCTCAGCGACACCCCCGCGGCCAGGCTGACCGGCAGGGTGACGCGGCGGCCGTTCACCTGGATGAGCAGCAGGGAAGAACACCCCTGAGCAATTGCAGCGGATTGAAGGAGTCACCCCAGCACGAGCAAGGCCTCCCCTCTACCTGCACAGTGCGGTCCTGGATCCGGATGAGGCTGAGGCCCAGGAAGATATGCAGCACCCTGGTCTTCTGGCCTTGGGAGGAGCTGCAGGCTACAACCCGGAACCACTTGTCACTGGTGGGGTCACAGAGGGAGGAGAGCTCATAGGGCGCACCAGGTGTCAGAGTCAGCTGACGGCCATCGAAGGATTGGAGGCCAGACCCCCCCAGCAGCTGGCAGCCCTGCTCCCGGGGGTAACACCCCCTCACCCCATCTCTCAGGGTGCAGATCTCCCTCGGGCTGCAGGCAGTGGGCTCACACAACGTCCCACCTAGACGATGGCACTCGCACCTTCGGGTACAGTCCTCATTGTACAGCTTCGCGCCCATCTAGGAGACAAGAGGTTTGGGGCTTGGGCTCAGCTGCAATGAGAAAGTTACGTGCCAGATCACCAGTCAAGGTGCTTGCCTGGGTCCTGCAAGTTCTCCTCCTCAATGTGCTTAAAGGCAGAAGCACAGGCAGCATGTTGACCAAACCTATTGGGTCCTGAAAGGATCAATTATACTGCTGTACTTTGCCCCCCCCCCCCCAGAGCTTGACAAAGCCCACACATCCTCTTTCACCCCAGGAGGTATGGCAACCTTCCAACAATTAAGTCTCAACTAATGAAGCCAGTTGATTGGAACCCTCCACCAGGGAGGGCCTGCGAAGCCAGAGACGGCCTTGGCACCCCAGGGCGTAGTGACATGGCATGAAAGTGCAGCACAGGGAGGCCCCTTCCCCACCGTCCCCTGCAGTTCGTTAGACCAACCGGCCCCCACCTCCACAAGTACCTTGATGTATCTGCCCTGGTACAGGCACCCACAGTTGCCCAGGGGTATGCACTCGCCCCCATCGAAGACGTTGCCGTTGTCGCACTGGCACCCCTCGGAGCAGCCACCCGGGCCCCGCGGGGGGCTGAGCACCTCGGCGCAGGAGCTGCTGCTAGACGCCACGCAGGGGCTGACGGAGCTGCGGTCTGGGCAGGTGAGCGCTGGGGTAGTGGCAAGAAAGGGTACAGCCGTTAAAGCCCAGTCATCCTCCCAGGAGGACGCAGGGCACCACCACTCGTCCCACACTCCCACCACCCGCAGAATAAAAGGGGTGATTTTAAAGAGGACATCCGCTCCACCTTCTGGCTCATGATCCACTGCTGGACTGGCTTGATTTTTGGCAATGGCTCTGAACAATTGCCAATCCTCCAATAAGTCATCCAATCAATTGCAAACAAGGAGACCGACTGCAAACTAAACAACTTTAAATTACAACCTGTTAACCTGGTATTTTTTAGAAACTGGTTAAGTGGTGACCCACCAAATCTGGGTGGGGTCTCCAGCAGCGGGGCTGGACACCCTGGTGTTGTTAACCCCAGTCAGCTCAAGATGAAGCACGAACCCAAGCCACAGGCCAGACCCACACCACCTGCAGGAGAACACTTACGACAGGAGGCGTTGGCTCTCCAGGGTCCCGGGACCCCTCCCCTGGAGCGGCAGGCCATGGCGTAGGCCTCCAGGATGAGGCACAGGTCCCCGGACGTCTTGCACAGGGCGTCCACGCAGAAGGGGAAGAACTGATCCGACTCCAGCACCGCCCTGCAGCGGCCGAACGGCCCGTCCACGGCGCTCAGCGGGCCACACTTCTGCTGGATGATGCCCCCCAGGCCCAGCGCAACATCGCAGAACGGACAGTTGTCGGCACAACCGTGGTCACAGGCCACCCCCTCGCCCGCCTCTGCCCAGCTGCTCAGGAAGGCAGCCAGGCTGGAGGCCGGCACACCACTGCGGAGCCGACGGTCATCCCAGTTCAAGCCGTTGAAGTTCCCACACAGGCCAGAGGTGGCGCTCCTGTAGCGGGACGGGACCACGAGCCAGAGCGGACCATTGGATGAGAAGAGAACCTTGAGCCCAAAGCCCGTCTGAAGAACAGTGGTGATGCCGTCCTGGTAGGCCCAGATGAGCCCGTCGGGCATTTCCAGGGGCAAGCTGAAGTCCTCGCCATTGACCTGGAAGAGAAAGGTCCTGGAGCTGAGTCCTCTCCAGGGAAGCCTGCTCCTCCTGCAGTCGGTCACTTGGAAGCCAGCGGGGTCGCAGGACTAAACTCGCTTGGCTTTGCCCAACACCCCAAAGGGGAGCAGGTTCCAGAATGCCCATTTGGGAGAGGGATAGGGAAGTGACTCACCCGGATCTTCCGCGGCGCTGCCCTCCGGATCATGATGTTGTACCCCTCCAGGGCCACCGCCACCACGCTCGCCACCCGGGCACCCTCCATCCGCAGCACGACCACGAAGCGCTCCAGGCCCAACCCCTCCGCCTGGGCCACCAGGTACGAGCAGGAGCCCCCAGCCACATACCAGTCACCGTCAAAGGTCACATAGCCGATGCCGGCCAGCACCAGGCACATGCCGTAGCTGGCTGGCACACACTTCCGGACCCCCCCCTCCTCCCGGCACTGCTCCTGCGGCCCGCAGCCACACCGAAAGCACTGGACCCGCCCACCCATGCTGCACTGGCACCGCAGATGGCACCCTGCTTCAGGGTAGAAGACGCCCTGAGGGTAGTACTGCCCTTGGTAAAGGCACCCACACTCAGAGATTGGGATGCACCTCCCGTTGCCGAGCACGAAGCCACTGTCACACTGACAGCCCTCCCTGCAGGAGGCGCTGCAGTACACTGGGGCAGCGAGATTGTAGCAGGTGACGGGACAGCTGGTGCCACAGAGCTCGTAGTGGCTGTTGTCCGGACATGCAGCCCCTAAGAATGAGCAGAAATAGGATAAATCCGAGTTCTCACGTCTGCAGCCCTAGAAACATTTGCAAGTTAAGAGTACTGCATCTTCAACATGCAGACTAGGGGGAATCTGAAGATCGGTGGAAGTAAATTTGGTCTTTTAAAGTAATGTAAAGCCGACCCATCACACAGCATTTGGCCACAGGGCTTACAGACCACACCAGTTTGCAGTACTCTTGACATTGCAAAGCAATACAAAGTTTCAGACATCCATCAACCTGCCCATTTTCCAAATGAGCAATAAGCTACTTTGGCAAGAAGGATCTTATGCATATAGAAAGAGCAATAAGATCCCACCGGAAGAGCTTTGCTAGCGCAGTTCCTACAGTATATAGCAACTGGAGCAGCATGCACAGAGACCTACCGCAGAAGGTGTCCCTCCTCCACTGCCTGACGGGGATCTCAGCAGCCTGGCAGGCTGCAACGTAGGCCGCAATAGAGCTGCAGAGTGCCGAGTGGTGACCCCCATATGCGCAGGTGTCTGCGATGCAGCTGCGCAGGTAAGGCTGGGGATCCAGGATGCGGGTGCACCGCCCAAAGGGGCCCATGTCATTGAGCAGCACCCCGCAGTACAGCTCCCTCCTGAACAGCTGCTGCTCCTCCACTCTGCACTGCCTGGTGCCCGAGCTGCACACGGTCTCACACCCAGGAACCTTGTCCACCTGCCAGCTGCTGCTAAACTCCTGGGCACTCACTGCCAGCTGCCCAGTGGGCATCAGGAAGTCATCACTAGGATTGCCATTGGCATTGCCACACAAGCCACACACCACACTGCCATAGGTTCTGGGCAGGAAAACCACCCATGTGCTGCTCTGGTACAGCGCCACCCGCAGGCCAAAGTCGGTCTCTACCATCACAGACCAGGGAGAGGGATAGATCACTACCTGGCTGTTCCATGTGAACGGCAGAAACACCTGCGATCCATTCACCTGGGGAGACAAGTGAACAAGAAAATCCATCCTCTCAAATGGAGACATTTAAGGGCATTAAATCTTGCTAAAATGTAATTTAATGGCTGTATGTTATGTACATGCGAGATGTGCCGATTAATTTACATGTTTTAGTAAAAATCCATTACATTAAAATTTAAGATGGTTGCCCTGCGAATGAAAAGTTCAGAGCTTAAAAAAAAAAAGACATCCAGCTCCTCCAAGACCGCAATAACCAGTCTGGAAAAGCTTAGTGCAGTTCAACTTCTCTAAATGAAGAGCTCTGGACCTGCAATCTAGTGGCATCCCACCCTATCCTAAGGATAGTTGCACTGCTGCACGCCGCTCGGGTTCTGCTCCAGGTGATGCTAATTCAGGTCCTCAGTCTAAACTAATCAAGTTTGCTTTGCAGGCATTCATCCCTTAGGGAGCATTTTGAACATTCAGCTTCAAACTAAGCACCCTCCTGCCACACTAGTGCAGGCTAAACTGAGTGACAAAGGTCACAACAAAAAAAAAAGTCCCATTCAGCAGGAGGTATTCATCTCAGACACCCGAGCTACATTTTCTCAGGCTGAAGAGTGTTTTGAAGTCCCATTTAATTTGCTTAGACCCCTCCACAGAACCAGTGATCGAAGACCCCCCAATGCTCTTGGCTTTAGAGGTCTCCAGAGCACCGACACCTACAAGCTTACCTGAACCTTCAAAGGAGAAGCTTTGCTTATGGAGATCAAGGTCTTGTAAACCTTAATGCTCAGGTCCACGTCGTTGGAGAGCCGATTTCCACAGCTGCCCACAGACAGGCGGATCTCAAAGGGCACAAGCTGGGAATTCTGGGAACAGATGCGCACCAGCCAGTAGGAGCAGGAGCCCCAGAAGTCATAGGCACGGCGGTCAAAGGTCAGGAAGTGGCGGCCAGCCTGCACTGAGCAGTTGAAGTGGCCGGTGGGGTGGCATCTCCACACTCCCACACTCAATGAGCACTGCTCTTGGGCACCACAGCTGCTATTTTGGCAGAGCACCGCTCCAGTGGAGGGGACGCAGGTGCAGCGCTGGCGGCAGTCCACAGGGGTCCAGAAGACATCCCCAGGGTTGTAGTACTGGCCGTTGTATATGCAGCCACACTGGTCCTCCCGGACACAGCCCCGAGGGCTCTGCAGGTACCCTTTATCACAGAAGCAGCCCGCCACACACAACGTAATACACATCATGTTCTGCAGCTTGTGGGTGCAGGAACGGGGGCAGGCAGTTCCACAGGTGGTATAGCTGCTGTGTTCCGGGCAGGGAGAAGCTGGGGGAGATAACCGCAATTAAACAAATTGAGGATTAACAGGAAGTTACCAACTACAGGTTCGGCAGGAGTCGGCATAGACATTCTTGGAAAGCCAACACTATACAAAGGTTTTAAGTTGCTGGAGCTTTCCTGCTCAAGGGCTAAAGCTATAGGTCTTGGTCCCTTCTCCAAGTCTACATCTCCAGATTGGGGATGGCTAGACGTATCTCAATTTAATGGCCATCAAGAAGTCTACCTGGATTAAGAGCTTCTGAATTTGTGCACCAAAACTCACCATCAGATCCATCAATACTTTCTGTGCAATCTGTAGGCAGCCAATCGTCATCTGCAGAAACAGAGCTCAGGGCTGGGAAGAGAAAGACATCTGGTTTCTCAAGACTGGGCACTGGTCTGTTGAACACCAGAAGAGGCGGCCTGGACTTACAGCAGCCAGCCTGTGCACTCCAATCCACAGACACCTCACCGATGTGCCCACAGGCCATGCCATTCAGGTAGAGTTCCAGGGTTTAAGACTCTGGTTTGAGAAGCAAGGTAGCACCCCTGTCCCTAACTGTAGTCAAATTTCACAACCCTGGGCATAAGAACTCCCTGCTCAAACCCCCTTTTGAAACTGAAAACCAAAAACATCCAAGGCCACATGGGAATTGGTTGGGATCTGTAGAAATTGTGAAAGGAAAGGCTAGGGAGGCTGGGAGAACAGCGGTACCTGGCTCGTGACAACTAAGGACCCCATCCCAGGCCTGGCAGGTCAGGGGCACAGGACAGGAATAAGGTTCACAAAGGAGGGATGGAGGAACACAGGTACAGTTCAAGGAGCAGTTCTCCACCAGCGTGTCCTCTCCAGGCTGCAGAAACAGAAGCCAAGGATAAGGGCAGCCTGAAACCCCAGAGCCGCATTCATAGTCCCTCACCCTTCAAGCCCATTTCTACACTAGAAAGACAGAACATTGAATTTCATAGATATTCAACACTGAGTCACCTGACCATAAGGGCTACCCCCTGTTCAATTCAGACTTCAACTTAAGTTTTATTTTGGTCCCAGATGAGCTCTGATGATTTAATGAATTTTAACAATTTGGAATGATTTAGTTTTACCATCATGAATAGCGGGGAGGTTTCAGATTTCTCCAAAGCGATTAAGTCCCGGTAGCCTGCTATTCCTGAACAGAGCCGATTAACCCCTGGCTGGAGACTGCCATAAACTGCCCAGCCTTTCCCCAAAGTAGAGGTCATATGACCGATTTAGTCATCAATAAGCTTGGTTGATGTGAGGATCTTGGCAAGCTGGCTTTTCAGGCCCAGGCTAACCGGTTTCAGCATGAGCTCAGAACAAGCATCCCGGTCACCTTGTATCGCCTCCCGTCCCGGAAGCAGCCGCACTCGTCCGCAGAGACGCAGGCGTTCCCATCGAAGACGTAGCCACTGTCGCACGCGCAGGCCTCCGTGCAGTTGGCGGGACAGTCCAGGATGGGCCGCACCTCTGCGCAGGCGGCCGCGCAGGCGTCCGCGCAGGGGCTGTAGTGGCTGAACTCTGGGCACCGCGGCGCTGGAAACCAAGCGACAGGAGGCGCCCGTCAGGATACAGCCGAGCCCTGCACCTCCCGCCACCGGACAGCAGCGCCAGCAGACCGACTCACGGCAAAATGCGCTGGTTCTCCAGGGCAGGATGGACACCCCGGCCTCCTGGCAGGCAGAGGCGTAGGCCTGTAGACTGGCGCACAGCGGCACCCGGCCCGCCTGGGCCAGACACAGGTCATACATGCAGGCGCCGAAGAAAGACTGGGGGTCCACAACAGGGCTGCAGGAAGCAAAGGGGCCACTGGGAGCCATGGTCAGCCAGCAGGAGCTCTCTTCCTGAACCCAAGATGTCGCCACCTGGGGGTCACAGTGGGGGCAGGCCCCCCCACAGCCGTCGCTGCAGTCCTCCCCCAGCACAGGCGCTCTCCAGGAGGCACCGAGCTCCTGCGGGTCCTCCGTCAGCCTGCCGTCCGGGAGCTGGAGATCATCCCAGGGATTCCCGTTGAAGTTCCCACACAGGCCATACAGCTGGTCCCTGTGGCCGTCTGGGATCATCAGCGCCACGTGGTACTGAAGGTCAAAGGTCACTTTCACCAAGCTATGGGCATGGATCACCACACCGAGCCCTCGCCGGTAAACTCGCACGCCGGGGCGCGAGAAAGGGAGGTTTTCCAGCACTCCATCCACCTGAATGGGAAACCACAGCCATTTTACATCAAACTTGGTTTAAGAAAAGCATTGCATCAAAACCCAAGATAGCAACTTGGGATTTAAACCATCTTCCACGTGAAAGTGTGGAGATCTAATCATAGCTCCACACTGCTGCCAAGATCTTATATGCAACAAGTAGGTGGAGTTCCTGAATTTTAAGAGGGGCCCTCCAAAGAAAAGTCAATTGTCTTAAACAGCTGTGAAGTAGAGAGGAGCGATTTATCCAAGTTGAAAACCAACTGATGTCCTCGGGATGTGGTGCAAAAATCACATATCCTCACCTCCACTTTCCCAGCATGCTCCCGGCTCAGGCTGAAGTTCTGCCCTGAAACCTCCAGCTCCACCCGGTTGGTGAGCCAGACAGCCGATCCCTCCTGTTGCTCATTTTGCACCCGCACAAAGAAGGACGCCAGGCCACCCCCTGCACCCCACTTGGGGATCCTCCTGGCCAGGGTGTAGGTACAGTTCCCTCGGAAGTCAAAGTCTCGCCCATCGAAGGTGTGGTAGTGCATGCCACCCAAAACCAAGCACCTCCCATGCAGAGCTGGCAGGTGACACCCCAGCACCCCATCTTTCACTCGGCACTCCTCCCCACTGGAGCAGGAGGCCGCCTGACACTGGAGCATCCCACCGAGCTGGCAAGTGCACAGCTGTTGGCAGAAGTCAGTGTAGTAGGTCTCCCCAGACAGAAGATAGCCACCATCGTTGAGACAGCCACACTGCTGGGGGGGCACACAGGCACCCCCACTGCGGAGCAGACCGGGGTCACACTGGCAGTCCTCACGGCATGGCGAGGAGGAGAGTGCAGGCACAGGGGGCGGGACACTCACACAGGACGGAGGAACAGCATCCGAGCAGAGACTGTAGTGGCTGCCAGCTGGGCAAAGCAGGTCTGCTCAAGGAGAAAAGGGGAAAATGCTTTTTCAACTCCAGAAACCCATAGGAAATTAATGGGTTTTTGCATAAAGAGTAACTGGTTCTAAGGTCTACCCATCTGGTCTGTTCTAGCATTGTGAAGTTTAAGATCTGTATAACACTGCCACCTAGTGGAGCCAGTTTCCCCGCTTACAACACTATCTAATGGTAGTCAGGAGAAACCCTTCCAGTAAGAGCAGGCAGCTCTTTATTGTACAAGTTGTGATCATTTAGGATTCCCATGGAGTTGAGCGCCATCATTAAAACCCAGAAGTATTGGGACATGCCCAAAGAGCAAGAACTACAAGCTTGTTTATGAATTTGTTAATTCAGGGTGCAACGGCTACATAACACCTCAGAAGCACCCCCTACTGGTGACTCAGTTTTATAGCACAAGCAAACATTCACTGCCTGCGATTTGATCAGCACATGGATGGCGCTCATGTGCCCCCTTTTCAACAAATGGGTTCAGATTTCAGATAAGCATGGGGAAGAGACGTAGTTAAAGCAAGCCAGAGCGATCCAGAAAGGCCCTAGGCGTTTAGCTGCTCGATTTCTGCTCATGCTCAATCACACAACTTCAATCTGGCATAAATCAGTTTAAAAAGCGAGAAAGCTTCCCTCACCCACTGCTGAAGTGTGAACCGATTCCCTCAGAAGTAAAAGTTAACTCAGCCTAGTTTCACGTGCAAAGGCAGTCAGGTCTGTTTCAAGAGTTATGCACACTCACCGCAAAAAGTGGAATTTCTCCAGGGAGAGATGTGGACTCCAGCTTCTTGGCAGGCAGAGACATAGCGTGCCAGGGACTGACACAGAACCGACTGCAGGCCCCCACTAGAACAGACCTCCCCCACACAGTTATTGAAGGACCTGTGGGCGTCCACAGTGGAGTGACACTCTCTGAAGGGCCCACTGGGGTCAGTGAGCATGGCACAGGAATCGCGTCCCATATACAGCTCCTTCTGCAGCTCCGGACATCCCAGACAGGTGTCCCCTTTGCAGCCATCCACACAGTCGGGATCACCTCCGACTCTCCAGCTCCGCCCAAACTCATCCATGCTCTCGGCCAGCCGGCCGTCTTGTCCTGTCAGGTCATCTGTGGAGTTGGCATTGTAGTTCCCACACAGGCCACAGAGGGCGCCTGAGTACACACTGGGCACTGCAAGAGTGACATGGCTGGTGCTGTCGAGGGTCAGGGAGAGACCAAAGTCCGTTCTGACAACCATGTAGAGCCCTGCGCTGTACGTCACCACCTTGTCAGAGTGCATGAAATAAGGGAGTGATTTGAAGAGGCCATCCACCTTGAAGAGGAAAGGACACAAAGGTTTAGCATGGAGGAAGGTCCACCTGCTGCAGATTGATTCCTTTGTCACTTCTGTAACTGCAGGAGCCCTGTTGCCCATGTGGTTTGAGTCACAACCCTGCAAGATCTACACCATGCAACACCCAGATAACACTGCCATGGCTACCGAGTGGTGCTGTGCATGCTGGGAGCCAACAAGCAACTGGGATCAAACCCCAGCAGGCATAGAACTGCGCTCAACATCTGCACACTTGGACCTCTTGGAAAGCAGTACGCGTTTTGGGACTGAATCCTGAACAAAAGTTGTTCAAACTTAAGTAAATCCTTGACAAATCATTGCTACATGACCACCAACTGCCTTTCTTCTGCAGTTTGCAAGCTCACAACGCTCCACTCGTGCAAGAACACGACTTGCACGTCGTGTGGGAAAGTCACGGCGCGAGAAGACCTTACCTGGATTCTACCGTCACCGTTGGTGCTGATCTCCATGGTGATGCCGTACACATTCACGGTCAACATCACAGCCGGTGACACGCCCCTCCCCCTCTGGATCCAGACCGTGAACGGGGTCAGACTGGGGTCCCCAGAGCACAGCCCCACCAGCTGATAAACACAGCCACCTTGGAAGTCATAGCCGAGGCCATCGAAAGTGACGAAGTGCAAACCACCCTCAGACGAACAGGATTTGACCCCTAAGGGCTGGCACCGCCTCACCCCACCCACCAGCTGACAGGTCTCCAGTGGCCCGCAGGATGCCTGCCTGCAGGTCACCCGATTGGTGTGGGGGTCACAGGTGCACTGCTTGTGGCACTCATCCACCCAGAAGGTCTCATTGGCTGGGTAGTAGAATCCATCGTGGGTACAGCCGCATTGACTAGGTGCCACACACTCCCCCCCGCTGAGCAGGAAGCCCGCGTCGCACTGGCACGTCTCCACGCAGGCAGCCTGGCACCGAGCCGGGGCGTCGGGGTCACCGCAGGTCGCTGGGCACGCCGAGCCACAGGGCTCGTGGTGGCTGTTCTTGGGACAGTGCCACGCTAGAGGGGAAGTTCCACATGAGCAATGTGTACAGACAGAGGATCCACACTGACAGCTGGTGGACTTCCTCAGCACATACAAACAGACCAGAGGACAGACTGAACAGCCCATCCATTCCCCACTCATCGGGCTGGTTTAGTAGTAAAGTCAGCCGAAACATGATCAGAGGAAAACCATCCAGCTGGCTGTGGCAGCTCCTAACCCCCACAGTCCTTTACAAGATGGGCCTCAGTCTGCCCTGGGGTTTATACAGGACTAAATCAATTTCTGGAATAGACAGCTGTGCAATTCAGCTCCACACGGCACCAGAAAGCAGCTTACTCCCAGAACCGTGGGGCAACCTGGAACCCACTGCAAGCCAGAACTGTCCCCCTCTCCTTCATCAGGGGGGGAATCTGGAGACCAACACAGCTAGCTTAGTCAGTATATGTCTGGGAGGAATACAATTAGAGCACATTTTATCATCTATGAATTAGTAGACTGCAGCTTTTTCAATTCTTTTCAGAATCACAAGCCAGGAAAATGCCTGTTACACACGAGAGCCATGAAATGCAGAAGGGCCTTACCCATGAAACAGCCTAGTGCCCCTTTGTCCACTCTGCATTCCAGTCCCTCGTCACAGGCTGCGGGTACACATGACAGGCCAGCAGGGGGCGTGCAGGTGCATCTCTTGGTGCACCTCTCTTCCCAGGTTGCCTCGCCAGGCTGTTGAGCAGAGATCAGTTAGAAAAACACTGCATGCACCGACTCACACCCCCCCCCCCCCCCCAACTGGCTCCATCCCTCTGCTCTCCTCCCCACTGAGAGCTGGTGTGTGGGGAGCGTTCTGGCGCACTATGGCCCCCCCCCCCCCCCCGCCTGCTTTGCACAAAACCATCCAGCAGTTTTCCCCCGAATTAGTCTTCAGTCTGAACAGGTAAAACCAGGTTTGACACCTTTAAGTTGACAAGGAAAAAAAAAAGAAATGCCGATTTTAGACAGCCAGCCTTGAAATCCAACGGTTGTCAGAAAATGCATTAGTCAGAGCACTGAGTCAGCTATGGGCACAGGGCAGAAAAATCAGACCCAACCCATGTTCCAACACTGCTGCAATTAAGGCATTAAGCAGATTATGGGCATTTCTACTCGTATGTCAGTCACACTCATGTCAAGTTAGGCAATGGCTTGTAGGCATAGCACAGTACTTATCTACATGGAAAGCTGCAAAACTGGAAACTATTGCTCCCATTCCAAGTTGATATTTAATGATGAGAGCCAAGTGTTCCCCCCCCAAACCTGCATGTTTTCTACATGGCAACAGCAGTGCACAGCAGGGGACGCTTAGCTGTTTACATCGCAGATGGATTAAAAAAAACAGCCCAGCTGAAGAGGTTAACTCCCACAGCCCAAGAAAATACAGGGGAGGGAAAGAAATTGAACAGGTAAGCAATAATCAAAAGAGTGGTACCTTATAATAGCGGCCATTGTGGAAGCAGCCACATTTGTCAATGGCAACGCAGCCTTCACCACTGAACTGGAGTCCCGGGGCACACTCGCACCCCTCCACGCAGGTCTGTGGGCACCTCCCCCACAGGGCCCCGGCACAGGACAGGGGGCACATCTTTGCACAAAGCTGGTACTGCGAGCCAGGCGGACAGGTCAGAGCTGGAAGTCGAGGGGTGTGCAGTTAACCATCCAGCACAGGAACGACCACACAAGGCCCAGCTGCAGGTTTCATCAAGGTTAGACAAGCACTCTTCCATGGTGCAGGTTTCCCTGCCCTCCATACCCTGAAGAGCCCATAGCTACACCAGAAACCCTGGCTCCATCCCACCTGCTCAGCTACTGTAGCTGTGCAGAATCAAAACTCAAGGCTTGGAGAGGCAAATAAGCTAGCTGAAGTTTCTTCACATGTATGGAATTGACCTTTACACAGGTCCTAGAGCAGGGACATGTGTAACTCATGTAAGCAGCAACATGTTAAAATTAACTGCAATGTCAAGACCACCTCCTTTCCAGTATTAATGCACAAGCATGCATATTTGCTTTAATTCTTAAAGCATTCCAGGTTCAAGCATCCCAATAAAAGCCAGTAGTTTTAAAGGCTTCCTGATCTCCTGAACCCTAAAGTTCAGACATAAGAGGAATTAAGAGCAACCCCAAACACAAGCAGAACTGCAGTAGTGGGGTAGGAAATGCATGGTCTTGGGGGCTCAAGGGCAGCCCAACTGAACCCCAGTAATAACAGGGCTCTTGAAAGTCCAGAGTAGGACTTGTGTAAAGGTCTTGACAAAGGTTCTGCACTTGCTGGAAGCAGGCATCAATCTGGGGTGAAGACTGTCCATTCCAGTACAGAAACTCACAGCACAGCTCCGGGCTCCTCCAGGGCAGGATGTCGACTCCGGCATCCTGGCAGGCGGCAGCATAGGCCTGCAGACTGCGGCAGAGCTGCGCCAGCAACCCCTGGGACAGGCACAGGTCGTAGATACAGCTGCTGAGGAAAGGCTGGGGATCCACCACAGACACACAGGCAGCGAAAGGGCCTCCAGGAGCCCCGATCATCCCGCAGGAGTGCTCCGACCCAAACTGAGAGGCCGCTCCGGGGTCACAGCGAGGGCAGGTCTCCCCACAGCCCTTTGGGCAGCCCGCCCCCAGAGCGGGGACTGTCCAGGCAGCCCCAAGCTCCTGGGGATCGCTGGCCAGCCGGCCATCCGGGAGCCGGAGGTCATCCTCAGGGCTGCCATTGAAGTCCCCACACAGACCACACACCTGGCTGCCGTAACTCCCGGGCAGGGAGACCAGAAGGTAGTACTGCAGATCGTAGAGCAGCACCAGCCCCGCCTGCGTCTCCACGCGCACTCGCAGGCCGTGCTGAACGGCACTGACCCGGTCCAGGACCGCCGGGATGGTCCAAGTTACACCATCCACCTGGGAGAAGAGGGAAGATCTCAGCAAGCACCCCAGCCATGCACAGAGCAGGCTTCCGACTCCACACAACAGCTGCCTGGAGCCTCCCGATGAAGAAGCAGCACGAGCTGTTCCTTTTCACACCAGGTACTCAGCTTCACAGTTAGGGCACATGTAAAAATCGCTGATCTTGGAGAACATGAGCGATATAGTCCTAACAAGGGCTTTGCACTGACTGCCATCTGATCCAAAAGGAAAGCTGGATCATAAAACCATTCCTAGAAGTTATGGGAGTCATATTGATGGACATCCCTGGGACTACTTTAGACAGAGCTTGACTTTAGGGAGGGGGCATGAACTCCATGTCAAAGCAAGTTCAGGTGTACAGCCATCGACTTCCATTCACCACTAGCTCCATACATCCTCTTGATATGGGGTTGATTTAGTGTTTTGATGCATTCTCAAGGCCAACACCTTCAATGTCTGGGCTGACTAGTGACCTCTAGTGGCAGGGCAGGGGAGTCACAGCTCCCTAGCCTGCCACACCCTGACTCCTTTGATCTCCAAGTGTTGCTAGCCCACGCAGTTAATTCCCCCCGGGCCACAGCTCACCAACCTGGACTTCCCCAGCGCGCCCCTTCAGCAGGGCGAAGGTCATCCCGTAGATCTCCAGCTCCACGCGCTCATGCTGCACCTGCACCGAGAAGGGCTCCACCGGGACCCCAGGCCCCGAGCCGGGGCAGCTCTGCGCCAGCGTGTAGGTGCAGTTCCCCCACAGGTCGAACGCCCGCCCGTCGAAGGAGCGGTAGTGCAGGCCCCCGGCCACCGAGCACCCGGAATGGCGATGGATGGGGTTCACCACTCCACTATCAAGTGCTGCCAGTGGGTAACACCCACGTGTACCCTCCCGCATGGCGCACTGCTCGCCCTGGGGGCAGGAAGAGGGCTGGCACTGCACCCGATTGCCCGCGGAGCAGGTACAGAGCTGCGTGCATTGTGAGTCGGGGAAGAAGCGGTCCCCAGACTGGTAATACACGCCCTCATGCAGGCAGCCACAATGGGAGCTCGGGACACACTGGTCACCACTGCGCACAAACCCGAACAGGCAGCGGCAGTCCTCCCTGCAGGTGATGCCCACAGGCCCTGGGGACTGGATGCAGGAGGCAGAGGGCGATGTGGAGCACAGGACGTAACGGCTGTTGGCAGGACAGGAAAGTTCTGGAATGACCGAATAAGCAAAGTGAGGACTTTGTGCACAACTAGAGAGCAATCTTAAATCAGCCAGTTCAAGCAAGATGGCAGCTCTAGTCTGAACTAGAATTACCAGCAAGCAGTGCAGGAGCAACGGAACATCCTCGGTCATCTGGCCTACTGGAAGGCAGATGCACGCCCTAGAAGAGGCTTGGCATTCTGGAGCACAAGCAGCTTCCTTGAAGCGTGCTAGGCTTGGTTAATTCTCCATCACTACAAACCAGCACCATTTTTTACATCAAGATGTCACAGGCTGGAACCAGCTGAAATGGCGCTCCACATCTGGAGCGCTTTGTTAGGTGAGCATACCTGGGGACCTGTGGGGAGCGTTGCTGGCATCACTTACCACAGAACCCCGAGGACCGCCAGTGGTAGATGTTGGCTCCTGCCTCCTGGCACTGCCCCACATAGCTGGCAAGAAACTGGCACAGGACGCCCTGGCGGCCCTGGCCGAGGCAGACGTCGCTGAGGCAGTTCTGGAAGAACCGGTCGGGGTCGACAGCACGATGGCACTCCCTGAAGGGGCCCAGAGGGTCAGTGAGCATGCCGCAGGAACTGCGTCCCAACAGGGTGGCTCTCTGCGCCTCGCTACAGGCCGGCTGGCCCTGCGGCCGGGCATCCTGGCAGCCGGGCACCTGGCTCGTCCTCCAGCTCCTCCCGAAAGTGGTGGGGTCGGAGGTCAGCTGACCGCTGCTGGTGGCGAGGTCGTCCGCGGGGTTGTTGTTGTAGTTCCCGCACAGCCCACAGAGGAAGCCGGCGTATGTCCTGTTGAGCGCCAGGGTGACGTGGTTGTTCCAATCGTAGGTTAAAATGAGGCCGAAGTCGGTTTCGAAAGTCGCCGCCAGACCCCTCCTGTACATCTTCACTTTCCCTCCGCTCAGCAGCAAAGGGAGGCTGATCAGGATGCCATTGACCTGAGGGAAGACAAGTCAAGACTTTTCCTGCAAGCAATAAAATGGGAAACCTAAAAAAAAAAACATTAACCACATGGATTGTTCCCTACTCCTACAGCCCACTGTGTAAAAGGCTTTCTGTTCTGAGGTTTAACTGTACTTCCTCTTTTACTCTGAAGCAAACCACTGGGCTTACTTGGACAAACATGCACACCCACCCCATGTGCCCTCAATCCTGTTCAAGACTAAAACGACTGGAGCTAGAGGAACTCCATCTCATCTTACCACAATAACCCCCCATTGTGCCAAATATCCCAGACATTCCTAGGGCTTCAATCCCAGATCTTAAGGCTGTTTCTGCTTCCCCACAAGCAGACTCACCAGGACGCGGCTCGTGTGCTCTCTGGTGATCTCAATCTGGTACCCATGCACCAGGATCAGCACGGTCTTGGAGCTGGCCGCCCCTGTGGGGCCCTCCTGCTCATTCTGGACGCGCACCTCGAAGGGCTCCAGCCCCAGGGAGCCAGGGCACGATGCGGCCAGCTGGTAGACACAGCTGCCCTCGAAGTCATACCTACGCCCATCGAAGGTGGTGTAATGAGGGTCTCCCTCCACTGAGCAGATCCCCAGCTGGACTGGATGACACCCCAGTTCACCACCCACAGAGCGGCAGAGCTCATTGGGCTGGCACTGAGCCGGGACACACCGGACCTGGTGGGCAGAGGGGTCACAAGTGCACAGCTCTTGGCACTGGTTGTCAGCCCAGAACTGCTGCCCGGGCAAGTAGTAGAAGCCCTGGTAGGTGCAGCCACACTGCTGGGGCAGGACACACCCTCCCCCACTGAGCAGGAAGCCCACATCACACTGGCACGTCTCCACACAGGCAGCCTGGCACCGAGCCGGGGCATCGGGGTCACTGCAGGTCGCTGGGCACGCTGAGCCACAGGGCTCGTAGTGGCTGTTTGCAGGGCAAGTCAGGGCTGCAACACAAAGTGGAAGAGGCCAAGCATGAGGCAGGAACAGCCCCCCCCCCCAATCAAACAGCCACCTGTAGGTCAGTACTCTGCCCCACAGAAGTCAGGGAAGTGCAGGGCTGGGATGGATGGGATTCTGCATCACCACTCCATTATAAACCTTCAAGATCGCTGCTCTGCGCTGCACAGAACAGTAAGTTTTAAATGCACAAGGCTAAGAAGCGAGGGTATTACTCATCCATCACGCAAACTAGTTTAAAACCAGAATCATCGGCTTGATCCTTCTGTTCTGGCACCACAGACTCAGCTGAGCCATGAGGGGAGCCCAGCACCCGGAGATTGCGGTACTTACGGCAGTGCGCCAGGCCTCTCCAGGAGGAGACCTGGATCCCGGCCCACTGGCAGGCATCCGCGTACGTCTTCACCGCCCTGCACAGGAGCTCGCCGGCGCCCTCGAAGACGCACAGGTCGTAGATGCAGCCGCGGACGTAGGGCGTGGGGTCCACAGCCGCGCGACAGGGGGCGAAGGGCCCCAGCTGGTCCTCCAGGAGCCCGCAGGAGGACCTGAGGCTGAACCGGCTCAGCTGCTCGGCGCTGCACTGTGGGCACGGGCCGCCTCCGCAGCCATGCTGACAGCCGCCATCGCCCCCGGCGCCGCCCGTCACTGCCCAGCTCCGCCCGAAGTCCTCCTTGCCCAGTGCCAGCCGCCCGTCGGGGGTCAGCAGGTCGTCGGAGGGGTCGTCGTTGAAGTTGCCACACAGGCCGCAGACGGCGCCCGCCAGATCCCGGCGCAGCTCCAGCTGCAGGTGGTGGAGCCAGTCGAAGCGCAGCAGCAGGCCGCCGGCCGTCGCCAGCACTGCGGAGAAACCGCTGTGGTACAGCACCAGCGCCCCGGCCTGCAGGCGGATGGGCAGGTAGTGCTTGCTCCCATTGACCTGCAAGGGCAGCCCAGAGCAGGGAAGTCAGAGCGTCCCAGTGTGCATTCTGCCCAAAGACCAACACCCCCCACCCATCTCAAACCGCTCTATCCAATCCAGGGTCCCAGCAAGGGACATGTGGAAAGCAGGGCAGGACTTTGCCTTCTGGACTGATGTCACACTAGACACACTTACATTTGGGCCAGATTTCCCAGAGGCCAATTCATTTGTCAGCACGCCTTTGGACTGCTGGGGGAAACCTATGCATACATGGGGAACATACAGACTCCACACAGACAGCACCCCAGGAGTTCAACCCAGGACCCCCAACACTGTGAGGCAGCAATATTAAGCCCTGCACTCCCCTGCCAATGAAATCAGAACTTGTATCCAACACAAGCACCATTCAGGGCCCCCACCACACAGTCAAAAACCCACGACCGTGGCACACGCACCCTCACTTGCGGCTCCTCGCCCCTCATGATGGTGATGTTGACCCCCGGCAGGGTCACATGCACCTCGCGCACGAAGGAGAGCCTGGCATCCCCGCGGTTCTCATTGGCAGCCTGCACAGCGAAGCCGCCGGGCAGTGGTGGAGCGCCAGGGCAGGACGTCTGGGAGATGGTGTAGGTGCAGCTGCCCTGGAAGTCAAAGGCAGTGCCGTCGAAGGTCAGGTAGTGAGGGTCCCCCCAGGCCTGGCACAGCCCAGCAATTGAAACGCACATGGGCACCCCAGCTTTCACCACACACTGCCGACTGTACCCACAGCGCACCACCTGGCACGGGTCCCGAGCTGTACGGAGAGGGGAAGAGACCAACATCATGCCAGGAAACACAGCAGGAAGGCTTGTTGCTCATGAAACTGAGCATGTGCAACACTGGCATTGGCGTGAGCTGATAAACAGATGAGAATTATGGTTTGTCTGTCTATTTCCAGGCCGATTCATCCAGTTCGGAACCGTGGGAGATACTGCAAGCAACAGGTGCAAGGCAGGACACACCCAATGTGGGAGGAGACCCACATGAACAAGGGGAGAATACGCCAGCTCCACACAGAGAGCACCCCAGAAATTGAACCCAGGGTGTCAGTTCTGTGAGACACCAATGCAAACAGCCATTCTGCCTCAGGACACATTTAGACTTCAGAATTCTAACTTTGCTTCTAGTGAACAAGGATTAAAAGGCCCCTATTCTGCAGGTCAGAAATGAGACTTGGAGAATTTTAAAAGCTCCTTGTTAACATACCGATCCACTTACTCACAACAGGAGAAGGGTTAAAACCAAGACCATTAAAAATCCACTTAAGCAGTTTTGCTGTATAGTCAGGTACCTGCTGCAATGCGTTTCATCTTCCCGATTTCCTTTTCCTCTGTTCTTATACAGACGGAAAGGGAAAAAAAAAAAAAAGACATTCAAGAAGGGGTCACAGCAACACAGAAAGCATCACCTGTACCGGAGCACAGGCCCGGGTAGCTGTAGGAGCTGGTGGGACTGGTGCCGATGACATACACCCCGAACTGCCCGTCCAGCTGCTGCAGGCTGTGCTGCCCGGGGCTGCCGATGGGCAGCAGGCCCCAGGACTGGTCCACGCCGGCCACGCTGTGCCAGGACACGCCGGGAGGGAGAGGGACCCCGTCGTAGCGCAGCTGGATGCCGGACGAGCCCTTGGCCACCACGACAGCGTGGGTCTGGAAGCCTGGTCGGGCAACGAGGCCAAAGTTCAGGCAGGAGCGGTCAGCGGAGAGGAGGCTGATCAGGAAGGGGGCGGCCGCCCCAGAGCAGAAGTAGACCACCTGCACCCCATTGCTGGCTGTGATGTAGGCAGCGCTGGAGGGGTTGACTGGGAGCTCCTCCACAGCGCCCCCCAGCAGCGTTCTCTCGTGCTGTGCCTGATTGTCCCGAACCTGCAGCCGCGTGGTCAGGTAGGTGAAGACGTACAGCAGGTCTGAGGAGGACTGGGTGGGCAGAGGGGGCACCACGTAGGTGTCGCCCCAGCCTGAGGTGGGCAGCAGCTGCACAAACCCATAGCTGCACCCCTGGCTCCCCTCCGGGGCACAGGTGTACCCACACACCACCCCCACGGCCTCCTGGGACGTGATCTCGGAGCCGGACAGGCTCTGCGGGCTCTGCAGCTGGGCGCTCCAGAAGGGGCCCAGGCGGAGCGTCAACACGTCCCCCCGGGAGTACGCCCTGCCCTGGAAGGAGACTGGCGCGGCGAGCACGATGTCCACGAGGTTGTTGGACGCATGGTTGGTGATCACGATCTCCGCGAGGGACGCCTGGCCGGGCACCAGCGGCGCCACGGCATAGTAATGGTTGCCCCAGAAGCCCACGGGGTAGAGCAGGCTGGCGGCGCAGGAGCCGGGCCTGCAGCGGAGGGCGAGGACCGACACCTCCTGGTCGGCTTGGACGAGGAAGGCGCTGGGCGAGTAGGAGCCCAGCATATCCACCTGGGCCGGCAGGGACACCGTCGTCATCTGGCCGCCGGCGAGGGAGAGCTCCTGCCTGAAGCTGGTGTTGTACACCAGCACCGTGACGGCGGTCGAGCCCGCGGACGAGGCGGCAGCGATCGTCACCTCCCGCTGCACGTCCGAGCCCGGGTCGCCATCCTGCGGGAAGACATTGACGAACTCCCTCCCGGTGATCCCCGCCCAGCAGAGACCTGCAGGGAGACAAGGGACCCCATTAAATCCAGGCCCATCCTGCACTGTGCTGAAGCTGCACCATTTCAATCACCAGATACCTGCAGGATGAGGAGGGCAGGGCAACGAGCACAAAGCAGTGTAGCCTCTTATAATGATGTTTGATGATAGATGGCGTTAAAAAGAATCCTTACAACACTCGTATAGCACTTCTCTGGACACTCCACTCAAAGCACTTTGCAGGTAATGGGAACTCCCCTCCACCAACACCAGTCTGCCCCCCACACACCAGCTCTCAGTGGGGAAGAGACCAGCAGGATGAAGCCAGTTCAGAGATGGGGATTAGGAGGCCATGATGGGTAAAGGACAGGGGGAAATGTGATCAGGATGCCGGGGTAACACCCCTACTCTTTTCAAGAAACACCCTGAGATTTCAAGACCTCCGTTTTACTTCACATCTGAAAGATGGTGCCTTTTTTTTTTTTTTTTTTTTACAGTGTAATGTCCCCATCACTATACTGGGGCATTAGGACCCACACAGACTGCAGGGTGAGCACCCCCTACTGATCCCACTAACACCTCTTCCAGAAGTAGCCTTCACTTTCCCCAGGAGTCTCCCATTCAGGTACTGGCCAGGCTCACACCTGCTGGGCTTCAGGGGGCTGCCAGCTGTAAATAGTCCTCATTCCCAGAGGAAGAGCTCTAATTCAAGGAAGCAGGGGGGAAACTTCCAGTCTCATGTCTCACAGCCCTTTACACACCACACCTGCCTTCTTTCTGAGGTCAGGTTAATCCAGACAAGCTGCAAGAATAAGCAGAAGCCATCCAGCTGGATCCTGAAATTCCAGTTCAGCAGGCTCCGATACACACTTGTTGTGGCGCATGTGAAACAGAACAAAACTGGAGACGAGACCTGCAGCTGCAGCACACCGACCCGAGTCAGGGGGGGCCCCCCTATGGCTGGACGCCCCAGAGGCCAAGAGAAACCAGCACCTCGAGGGACATTAACCCTTTGAGAAGTGATCTTAAGTAGAGCTTGATCTTTTCTTACCCAAACGTTGCTACTTAACTCCCCAACTGGTATCAGGAGTGGCATCACCTGCTGGTTAAAATAGTCATTCTAAAAGCAAAGGATACTTAATTGTGGACAAAATCAAGAAGAACAGGATATTGCTGTGCTGGAATTTGTCCCAAAGAGATCAAGATGCGGTCTACTAGTCCCACACTGAAGCAAAATGGAGAGGGGGACAAGTAGCAATCAATAAGTGCTCTGAACCCTCTAAGGCACTTCACACAAAAGGTGGTTGGAGTGTGGAACAAGCTACCCAGACACATTGCAATAACAGCTGGATAAGATGCTCGGATTAGTTACCAACTACTAAGCTTGATGGCTTGAATGGGCTCATCAGCTCGATTCTTACATGACGCTTTGACTCGAAGACTCCTCAGAAGAGGGCAGGGCACACAGAAGCAAGAAACTGCAAGCCCCAGGCCAACAGGGTGGAAAACAGAACCTCGTGCAGAGGCCCGATCGAGCTCGACTCACACGATGACCCAGTGGCAGCCAGCTGTGGCAGGAGCTGCTCGTCCAGATCACCTTTGCCTTACAGTAATCAATACAAGCAAGGATCTTGCCTGTATACAGCTCGCTAATGCTTAGGAGGCTTAAGATAACGCCTATCTAGACACTGCAAAAGGGAAATTGGCAGAGGAACACTTAATACAAGCACACGTCTGGCAGAAGATTTTTAATTAACACCCAGCCTAGATCTCTGGCCCCAGGGGATAAAACCATACTCCCCACCCTATAAGGGCACAGCACACCAGCGGCCAGGGGGCAAACTGGCTGAAGGAGAGCATCAGGCGCCCCAGACAGCCGAGACCCTGCGGCAGGATGGTTCTGCTGAATGGCCAGCAGAGGCTGCGCTGTGAAACCCTGCCCATGCAGTCCAGGTCTGTAAACAAGTCAGGACTCGGAGCACACTAACACACATGGTGGATTACAATGCATCTTAATCTAAGAAAGAGGGAAACCGTTTTGTTTTTGACCAGGAAATAGTTCAAAACAAGGAAAGACTACTAAAAAAAAAAACCCTCGCAAGAGGCTGGTAGCGCAGAGCGAGCCCTCGAGGGGAAGTGTCTGATCGACACTGTGGCGGTATTTGACCTTTACAAAGAACTGTTTACGTCTTGGTTGCTGACTGACAGGGCTTGAGCTGCAAAACAAAAAAAGCTTTCGGAAAGTTCAGCGCTGGGCTGCAGCCGCCCAGCAGGGTGTCGGCTTTCAGCGACGCCAGCCAATCAGAGCCCGAGCTCGGCCCCGGACCCGGGTTATACTTCACCTGCACCTGCGGGAAGGCAGCGCAGGAGCCCGGCGCCGCACACAGCGACACCTCGACGAGCTTGCGACAGGTAAGAGCGGGACCCCGGCGGTAATATTGAACATTTGCTGCTCTATCGAGAGAGAACGCGGATAAGACACGCAGCTGGCGGGCTCTCGCCCCTGCTCTTAGCCTCTCCAGATGTTTTGGGTAAAGGAAATGATTTTTGGGGGGGGCAGATTCGGGGTGCAATCAAACCCACATCTTTCTGCTGCGAAAGACTGAGGTCACATTTGGTTTGTAATCCCGTCGAGAGCCAGGAATTGAAACAGTTGGCCCGCTCTGCGCCAGGAGCGTCTAGTTGGTTTTTTTACCCCCCGGTGAGCTCGCAGAAAAGACACTTCATTGCCACCAACTACCGCTACACGCTGTATTGTTGTCCACTTGATAAAGTGATTAATTCGGACCTCCTGGGAACCCGGACTCCGGTGTCTCGGCGGATTTTCATTCCTGCGCGGTTCGGCACTTCACTAGCTGGGTTCTGCCTGAAGGCAATTGGAGTTGCCCCTTTCTAAAGACCCCGGGGAGCCTGGAGACGCACTGGGGACTGCAGGAATGCACTCCTCTGGTCTAGAAGTCTATTTCTACACCTCGCTGAGCATTGCTGACCGGCCCGCTCTGCCCCGCGGTGCAGTATCTCCGGGCGACAGCGCTGAGCCGTTCAGATCAGACACGGTCGCCCCCCCCCATCTAGGGGGACAGTGAGAGGAGGCTTAAAACGCGACCACTTGTTTTCATCTGCGGATATTATGGTGTGGGTGTCGCTTCTGAAGTCTGAGGGCATCTGCAACATCCTGTAAGCCTGCGCACCGCTCTGTCCCGTCTGGTGCCCACGGCCACTCCCACTCATCAGTAACCAGCTGTGCAAACAGCACACCTGCACAGCTCCACGAGCGGGCAGCCTGCTGTGCAGATCTGCAGCGCGCGGAACTCTTGGCGTGCTCCCCGTCCTCCGACTGCGGGAAAGGTGCTCTCCGGGCAGGTGCAGGGAGGCGTTCACGCACCGTTAAATAACTTGACTTTCCTCCCAACAGAAACAAAAATACACCCCCACCCCACCCCCCGCTCAGTTTGCCCAGGTATTCGAAACAATGACCCATTATCCTCGCAACTGCAAATCAGAGGTTATTTGTATTTTTTTTTTTACAACTGTCTTCCTGTTAAAGTTCATGCGTTGCATAATCAGCATAACGGAGCTTACCATAATTGAGCAGGAAATACGCGTGTACCAGAAAGTGTATCCACGGCATAGCTGTGGGAAGGAACGAGACCAGTTAGAGTACGTAAACGTTATTTACATAACACACTAACGGGTTAAGGAGACTCCAGCTGAGAAGAGGCTTCTGAAAGACGTTTACCACAAGACAAAATTAACAACTCCCGAGATCAGCTTCTGTTATAACGATATCCTCCGTGCTGTATATTAAGGGCGCCCTCGGTCATGCTTATTAAACTTGTTTTCCTAGGCTCCGATACACTTGGAGCGATCCCGGTATATTTAAAAAAAAAAACTCCCAACCCCCGTCTCCGTGAAGGTGAGTGACCTTACCTGACACCCTGGACATGAGCGCATCGTCCCTCCAGGCCCCATTTTTATCACACCCGCAGCACGCCCACAGGTGAGAGCAATTAACTTGAAGCGTTCTCACCTCCTAATTAATGAGTGACGCACTTTAATTAATGCATGTTACGTAACCGGTTTTGTTGCCGCAGTAATTTTCTGTGGGGTCACGTGCAGCGAACTACCTGCAGTCCAGCCCGCAGCTCCGTGCTGCACTGGAGCAGCTGCAACAGAGAGGCCGCTGACACTCGTCCGCAGCATTCGGACTGTTCGCTTGTTCACTTGTATTGCACTGTCTGCACTTTGTGTTTTAACACTTGTTTTAACAATCGAGAGACTTTCTGTCAGTAAGAATCCCATTGTACCAGTACACGTACCGGTTACATACGGCAATAAATTTCAAGTTCGAGCTCCGTTCGAAACCTGTTCTCAGTTATAAGGAGCCCAGAGTCCCAGCTGTTGCTCTCTAGCGGTCCTGAAGCAGGAGACTGAAACCACCTCTTCACGGGCTTCAAGCACCTCGGCCGCGGGCAGAGCGGAGCTCAGGATCACGCTAGAACCTCCCGAATACCGTGGAAATAATATCGTCGCTGAGTCGTGAATTTAAGCATCTGTCGCTTGAAAATTGCTATAATATTTAACTAAAATTGTTTTCCAGTCACACCGCATTTATTAATAAATACGTTTATTAACACGTATGAGCTGAAATGACCCTATAAGATCTGTTACAGAAGTCTCCTGAGTTTACCTTTTCAGAGCTGCAAATATATATATAAACATGTGCATGAAATCCACTCCCACGTACTGCCACATTATATTGCTGTTTTTATTTGAAATAATAAAATTGCTGGCGCTATCGGACATTATGGGACGGATTTGCTAACTCCGCTGTTAGGAACGTGCAGTGGGCGCCTTGGTCATTGTTCAGCACAGCTGTAACTTACTTATCTGACTCCCTGCCTCCCCAAACATACAATACAAAAACTCAGATAAAGTGTAACAGATGTAGCCCCCGTAATTGCACAAATCTTACAGTTATAGTGTTGCAGGCACGAAGCCATGAATGTCCTGTGGTTCCTTATTCGCCTGAAGGATGTCCGTATGAAAGCCCCTACAATACCGTACGTGTTCAAACTCGCATCCCAGCGGCTGTTCTTGTTTGTTCCGTGAATGACTGCAATTGAGTATCAAGGACCCTTGTCTACTATATTTTAACGTTAATTCCGTCCTTGAATTAAAAAAAAAAAACATTTAACTGCCAGGGACATTCAGTTACGTACAGACGCGAGGCAAAGTAATAATTCTGTATTGACGTGGCCAACATCTGAGTCAATACGCTCCGGTTCCGGGCCCTTTGCAGTCCGAGCTCATTAGAACGACAGCAGTGCTGAGCTCTCGGCGCCGCACCGAGCTCCGGTCCAGCTGCTCTCCAGCGGCGCTGCAGGGAGCTCAGAGCTGGAGATGATCTCCGGGTGGTCATTCTGTTAACGGGCCCGCAACCGAACACACAACTGCGAGCTCAATCCGAAAGTCCGTTGCAATTGACCCTTAAAGTTTTCAAGTGAATATTTTTGAACATGAAAACAGGGGAAGGTGGCTAATTAAATACGTCTTTATTATGACGGCAATGCAAGCATCTGACCAAACTGGGGCACAATCTCACCGCGCCGCTCCCCAGAGGAACTATTCCTGCGAATTCGCGCCAGCGGGAGCGGTTTGAGGATAACTCAGCTTCCTGGAGTGTTGAAATGTTCCGTTTGTTTTTACATCGGTTTCATCACGACCCCACAAAATCCCCAGGAGAAAAAAAACCCACAAACTGCTCCTGAAAGCTCAAAGCGCTGCAATTCAGGAACAGGAAGTGAGCAGGAATACCCCAGAGCTGGCTGGCGCGGCCTCGCCAGCTGCACCCCGAAGCGCTGTAGCTGTTGTACAGGCTGCGCACCTGTGGGAGACAGAGGACGAGAGCTCTCCACATTTAGAAGCACGAACACAAAAGCAGGGTGTGGAGAACGTGAGACTCAAAAAAAGCGGCGTGGACGAGCGGTCGGGGGACTCTGGGCTCGTAAGAGCAAAACAGTTCGCTCGTTGTGCCCTGCAGAGCGACATACCGTTTTCAGGACCTCTGAGAAGAAGCCCAGCTGCACAGCGCAGCTCGTATGTAAGTTGCTTTGCAGAAACGGATCGGCCAAATAAATGCAGAACATAAGAGAGGAAACGAGAGGAGTTCGGCCCCCATAGGACTCGTTAAAGTTTGCTGCTAGATCACGGATCCTCCCCTGAAGATGCGATGCTTGGTGCTGACCCCTGTCTCCCGGTGTGTGCAGAAAGGCTTGTTTATGCGGTTGTCGGTGACGGCTGCCCGCGCTTCGCTGTTGATTCGGGCGTTTGACTACATCATCGTACTGGCGGTTTATAAAATGCGTCAGCTGCTAGGGCGATGATTTTGGAGGAAGGGGAGGAATTAGGGTCAAAGCTCGCCACTTTTCTGCGACACGTCCGTTTCAGGTGCGCATGAAAAATCTTGATGTGTCACGCCGGGGAATGATTAGACTTCTCCTCCGCTATTTCCCATTTCTGTACAGCTTCGCGGCTGCTAAGACGTGCTTCTTTACATTCAAGACCCCATTTGAGGCTTTCAAGACGGCGATGACTTCGACTGCAGGGAAAACATGTTTTCCCTGCTCGTTGGGTGTTGTAGCAAACGCAGGGCCGTTTCTTCATCTGAAAGCTGACACAGTCAGTCACAACACCCCCGCTTGCCTGTCTTCGGAAAGAGCAGGTAAAACCCAGCATTGCGCAAACCGCTGATCCGACACACAGGTCTCTCCGAGCGAGGCGCCGCAGGGGCAGCTAGAGGGGGCCTCGCTCCCGTGCGCCCTTCCTTTCCCGTCATTTCCCATTCGCTTCGCGCAAAGAGCAACCAGGCTCTCGATTTACGACGTGCAAGCGCGCAGGTGGATCACGCTGCACTGAGCTCTCTGTCTCTCTGTGATCACGGAGACGGGATCTGGCAGCTTGTAGAATCTTCCCTTGAAACGGTTATTTCCCTCAGACAAGACACTGGCCGGTCACAGGACTCAGTCTCTCTTTCTTTACTGCTGTGGATGTTACACTTGTGACCCACAGTCTGTATCCTGGACCACATTCCCCGATCCACCCATTTCCTAACCGCTCTATCCCAATCAGTGTTGCAGGGGAGCCAGAGCCTATCCCAGTAAGCAACGGGCACAAGACAGGGTACACCCTGGACAGGACACCAGTCCATCCCTGGGGCAGACAGAGATACGCGCTCAAACCAGGGCCAGTCTTCCCAGAAGTCTTTGGATGGAGGGATGAAACAGGAGCACCCAGAGGAAACACAGACCTGAGGAGATCATACAAACTCCACGCAGATAGCACTCCAGGATGGGAATTGAACTCGGGGCCTATAGCTCTGAAAGGATGCAGCACTAACCACTGCATCACTGTGCCTCCATTCTGAGATCATGTGGGAAATGATTTGGGGATCACAGGTACAGGTGCTGGGACCCCTACAGTTTAGTACAAATATTCTACCCCCCTGGTCTGACTATTCGACATCATGAACTTAGGTTTCATTCCCAAAGTCCGGATCAGATAACCCTGCTGTGGTTTCTGTCTGACATGCAGATGCAGCAGAATGTTTTCAAGCTTCAGCTGAACTGTGACAAGCCTGACCTGCTGCTTACTGCCTCTCAGCCACCACTGCACACTGACTGACTGCAGAGCTGCTCTTGTCAGTTTGGAAATTAAACCCTTGACTGAAGCTGGTACTTTTTTTTGACCCACTGTGGGGATCTGGAGCTCATGTGAGTAGCGTCTTACAGGGGCAAGCCGGCAGAGCCCGCCGCCCGGTGTCGAGCCCCACAGCTGGTGAGGAGCACACGGCTGTCCGCGTCACTCGCGAACGGTGCTCTGGGGACACGAGGCAGCGCGCGGCAGGCGTGGCGTGGAGAGCAGCTGGGGCCTCGTGTCACAGCCAGCCGTGTTCTCGTGCGGCATCGACCCGAGGCGAGTTTCAGGGAACATCGCGCTTGGACACCGGGTTCGGCCCGTCCTGCGGTCGTGTTCTGCGTCCTGCATGTAGCCCGACAAGCTGACAAACCCTTTACTCGTTTACACTGCAATCCTTTGTTTTTTCTTTCACTGCGAACTGAGATGGCTGGGAAAAGTATCCATTGTGATCGGTTCCTCTGTTTTCCCACTGTTTTGAAACCTCCGGGGGCGGAAACGAGGGCGTGATGCCCCCTCCGGGAGCCCGGACGCACGCAGTGCCCGTCGCGGTGCAGAGGGATGTTTTTGTCAAGTTGGCGTCCCCGCGGAGTGGGGCTCAGCGCGTGGAACAGCTGCACGGGCGAGGAGAGAAAGAGGATGTCTTGAATTAATTAAAGGAAGCTTAAGGACGGGGCCAGGTGGGTTCTCAGCAGAACCGAACAATGCAGGTGTAGGAAGAGGAAGCGCACGGGGGTTCTCGCCGGGGTGTGTGTGTGTGTTGAGGGGGAACAGAGCCCCTCATTATGTTTCTCGCGAACGTCCTCTGCGTCAGCTCTGACTGACGTCATCAACACCCACTCGAGTCGCGTACAATGACCGCACACAAGCTGGCGACCGAGGAGCCGTCGCCTGTACCAGGGGGGTCTCAGCCCTGGTCCTCGGGACCCCCGCACTCG